TTTCTGAACCAAATTCATTCATAAGGTCTCCTGGACTAGTTCTGACCCTCCAAACTCAAGTCATAATAGAAATATTCAGTAAAGGTACCCTGTCTCTCTTTTTAGAAGCTACCTTGAAGAATCTGCTTTTGTGCAGAAGCCTGTGTACTTCAGAAGAATGCTAAAATATATCATACATTTACTTATTCTAAGTAATCCTTTGAGTACTACAGGATTTATAACTTGCTATATTTACTTTGGTCTAAAAATCCATGCCCAGTTGAGAGCAACAGCTGTATATTAGTTCCAGGTTTTTTGTTTTTACTTTTCTTTCTTCCTTGTCAATAAACATATATAGCACCAAAATGTTCGGGGAACCATGCTGAGCACTGGGAACACACAGGAGTGTGATGTAGTCCTTGCCCCTCGCATGCCAATGCTCTTGGGAGACAAGTTTACAAGGCTTATACATTTAAGATTCTATCCCATTAGTAAAGACAACAGGTACCCATGAGGGTTCAGAAAAGGAAGCAATCACAGGGCCCTGAAGTCTAAAAAGGCTTCTTAGAACAGGGAGACTCAGCCCTAAAAGTAACAGATACACAGAGAAAAGGATAACATTCTAGAAAAGGGAAAATCAATTAATGTTGTGGACTCCTCCCTCTTGGAATTATATTTAAAAAACATCCTTTTCTAAAACAACTTGGAAGAGCCGGACTCAGTGGCTCAGCCTGTAATCCCAGCACTTGGGGAGGCTGTGAGAAACGGATTGCCTGAGCCCGCAAGTTCGAGACCAACCCAGACAACTTGGCAAGACCTCATCTCTACAATAACTAGAAAATTAGCCGGGAGTGGTAGCACATGCCTGTAGTTCCGGCTACTTGGAAGGCTGAGGTGGAAGGATCGCTGGAGCCCCGTGGGTTGACGCTGGGGTGACCGTGAGTGTGCCACTGCCTGAGCAACAGAGTGAGACTCCAACTCAAAAAAAAAACAAAACAAAAACTTGGGAGAAATAAATCAAACCAAGTTTCAAGGGGATTTTGGGTCCTATGGGAAGAAGCATGATAATCAACATTATAAAACCAGAAGGCTACTAGAAGCTATCTAGTATCAAGTGCAAGGTATAGCAGCAATGTTAAGAATTCATTTACAAAAAAGTTTTATTCCAGCTGGCGCAGTGGCACATGCCTGGAGTCCCAGATACTTGGGAGGATGAAATTACCTAATATTATCTATAACTGGATCAGGATTTTTTTCTTTTCTTTTTGAGTCAGAGTCTCACTCTGTCACCCAAGCTGGAATGCAGTAGCATGATTCCCACTCACCACAGCCTTGACTTCCTGCACTGAGGAAATCCTTTCACCTCAGCCTCCTGAGTAGCTAGGACTACAGATGCATGCCATCGCACCTGGCTAATTTTTTTGTATAGATATCTCACTATGCTGCCCAAGCTGGTCTTAAACTTTTGGGCTCAAGCAATCCTCCTGTCTTGGCCTCCCAAAGTGTTGGGGTTACAGGCGTGAGCCACTGTGCCCAGCCCTAGACCAGAATTTTTTAGAAAATCAGACTCTCACAGTTCAGAGATTGTCGTTCCAAAAACTTAAGAAGGATATAGAAATTTCACCTCCTTTAGGTACAATGTTCAAACATTCATTCCTATGGTCCTTGGTTTTTCTATAGGTAAAATAAAACTAACCCTCACCGGGTTTCCCAAAGTCTTCTTCCTAAGGTTTTCAGGATAAATATTCTGGGCTGTTTGGCCAGTTGAAGGCAGGTCTACACAAGGAGGGGAAGGCTGGAGCAGGGGAGACAGGAGCTGAGCTCCTTCAGTCTCCGATTTCCAACAAACGTTTAAAAACAAAAGAGAAAATGTCACATTAAGGGAAGGAAAATCAAACTGGCAAGATTTATTTAACTTTTCTTTCACAGAAAATACAATAAGTATGTAATGTAAACACTGACACATGAAATAAAGTACAAGGATCAGGAAGACAGTGAATAGGACAATACTCGTGCTTCAACACTGTACTGCTTCCTGATTTCATTTGCAGCATGAGTCACATGGCTATACAGACTCAAAGATTAAAGGCAACATTCAGATTTATGGATACAATAGAGAGCCTCTGAAATCCAACAATGTCATACAGAAATCTAATCTTTCTGTTGCAAAAAAAAAGAGCTGGACACATGTCCATTTATCCATTTACCCAAGGCATTTAATGCAGGAGCCTGAGAATGGGTTAACACATGAACTTTAACATGCCTGTGGAGGCACAGATTAAATTGTGCCTCTTTTCCTTCTTCAGAGAAAATAAAATTAACCAAATTAAAAGCAGAGCTGCCTGATCCTGGCCAGAAGCCTATATAATCACAGTGAATTCATATTTCAGTAAATCCCAGTAAATGCAAAACACAATAAATGATTGCCATTGGTGCTTTGCCCACATGGTCACCCCAGATCTCACACTGCAGAATCACATAGGGTTTTCAAGGTTCTTTCCCAGAATTCCAAACTTGGAAAAATGACCCAAATGAATGGGTGGGACCAAGAATCACCATGGTTTAAAACAAAGGGTCTATTTCTGAACTTGAATTCAGTAAGAGTATGAGCTTCAATTTTCTGTGATTATCCCAAGAGGCTGAATAGACCTGTCTTATTTCTTATCAGATGACACCTACCAGGAAAGTAAATTTTGATAACAGATGCCTACCACACTGACTGGTTCAGTAATAGCACACAGTGTCACACGACTTAGGGTTTAGATAAGGCTGCCTTAGAGCTTGAAATCAGAGAACTTTGGGTTTGCCAAGAATACCTATTCCTTCACTCAGCCCATAATCAAAGGCTATTAGAAATAATCTATAGTCCTCATTCCTTGACACCAACAATCTGTGGCAAAATAAATTCCTTAGGTACCTTCTTCTCACAGCAAGCAGAGTGGTCAGTTTAGGCTGAACACTGATTCTTTGGAGGAGAAATGATACTCTTGAGTGGGTGTTTTGAAGCTTTTTTTTCTCAAGCAAGGCTAACCTCCCTGTATGGAGATGGAGATTTTTAAATGTGTTTATAAACTAATACATGAAAAATGCCTACACAACCACCATTCATTTCTGTATTCCTTACTTATAGCATTTGTCACAGTGTTCAGGTTTTAAGAGGGATAGGAACTGATATTCCCAAGTCCCTGCATCAATTCCAGCTTTTTTGTGCTACATTATAATTAAATTCTTGCTCAGAAGGTCTTATTTAAAAACAAAAACAACACACAAGATGACAAAACAGATCAGCATTATACCACTCTGATTAGAAAAAAGCCACTCATCAGGGACCTCCATGCCTGGACTTTTTTTAACCATGTGAAAAGTTGAGGGCCTCCGCTACCATGATGGACAGCATGCTATTACTGCAAGTGAGGCAGGATGTGTCACTTGCAATTCTCTGTCCTGTGGTCAGATCATATGTGCCAATATTTACTTGGAAAACAGTAATCAAGTCTTCCGAATCAAATGCCAGAGACTAAAGCAAGTGGGACTCAAGTCTACTTTCACTTGCTCTCCAGTGCTTATTCTATACTGTCTAGGCCTCTTACCTCTCCAGTGTTTCAACTCCATCTCAGACATTCCTTCAGAGGAGATGGCAAAGAGGAGCTTTTTATATGGCAATGAGCCGTTTCTTCTGTTATCACTTCCCTTCTACCCTTTTGGGATCGGTTCCTATTAGGAAGTCCTTCTAGAAGTCTCACTCTGTCACCCAGGCTGGAAGGCAGTGGCATGCTCCCAGCCACCGCAACCTTGACCTGCTGGGCTCAGGTGATCCTTCTGCCTCAGCCTTCCAGGTAGCTAGAACTACAAGCACATGCCACCATGCCCAGCTCATTTTTTGATTTATTGTAGAGATGGGATCTCACCAAGTTGCCCAGACTGGTCTCGAACCTGTGGGCTCAGGCAATCCTCTCACCTCAGCCTCCCAAAGTGCTGGGATTATAGGTGTGAGCCACCACGCCTGGCGTAAGTCCTCTTTGAAAAATAACAGATGGAGCCTCTGAAAAGTAGAGTCATCCTATTTGCAGATACTAGAAACAGTCAACCTTAGGGAAATAAGGCACCCATAATGTGACCTCAAACTGACTACAGGAACAGTATTGATACTTGGATCTGGTGTGGCTGCATCACACAGCACTGCTGTGTTAGTCTAACACACAGATCAAAGGCTCCAAATAACTCAAAAAAATACAGATAAAATTCTTCCTTAAAATAGAAAGTTCCAGTACCAGTCAGGTCTCTGGTCAACTCACCATCCTCTCAAGGAATATTTTTCACAGCTGAGTGGTGAAGGCCAAGGAGCTCTAGATGAGAAGTTAGGCACCCTGGGTTCCAGCCCCAGCTCTACTATCTATGGGCTGTGACCCTGTGCAAGTCGCTTCACTTCCTCCTGCTGAGCTTCAGCATCCTTATATGGAAATGGGGATAAAGTCAACTCCCTTGTCTACCACACATTGGACTGTGAGGACCAAATGAGATGCTGTGGAAGTGCCTTATAAACTGAAATACTGGATGTAAAGGCCTTTAAAGTAATAATATATTTATTACATTTGGATGAGGTCCTTAACATTGCCTATTTGACTATGAGTGCCCCATGCAGCATGTGCCTTGCAATAGACAGAATGCAAAAGCAGATGCTGTAAATATACACTGGTTCTCTCCACTAGGGTTGTTTAAAAAAGGAAACTCTTAATTTCCTCAGCAACGGCCTCAGAATACATAACTTAAAAATGTGACATCATCCAAATCTACCGATTGATACAATTAATTTTCTTCAAATATGCCCTATACAGTTACAGTTTGGTCTGCTGTTATTTTATATAGAAGAGGCTAGAATTCAAAAAATTGCATGCTAAAACTTAAAAACAAAACAAAAAAACACACACACACACATACACAACCAAATAGTTACAGTTGGTTGTAAAGGAAGTAAAATGAAAAATCAGAGGCATCATATATAATAAAATTAGGTCACAGTTCCTCAAAAGGTCGCCTTTTTCCTGAGATAGCTCCAGGACAGGATCCGAGTCCTGTGAAGTGCTTTATAGAAGCTTAGTCTTGCTGGAGGTGAAAAGGACATTGGGTTGGCAACTAGACTGTGTTCATTTTCAGCACGAGGATTTGAACGAGAAGGTCTGCTAGGAGCTGCCAAACAGCTTTGGTGCAGAAGCCCATATGGCCTAAGAGAGGCTTGCTAGTTCTCAGATGCCAGGCCAGAATGTGGAGAACAGTTTAACACAGCCATCCAGTGCAACGGTTTTCAATTCTTCCTGTAAGTTGGTTCTGCTCTTCTCCGGTCTAGTAAATAATTGAACAGAAGAAAAACAGTAAGATGTGGAGCAATATATCCACCCGTGCTTTAGGGCCTTTCTCTGTCTAGGTGCAAAAAGTGTACATGCAGAACAGAAACACAGGCAAGAAACGAATGTGCCCTTTACTAGACTTCGACTAGCCCAAAGCACCCAGATTCCAATATTTGTGTCAGAAGACCTTTATTATAAATGTTACAGGCAATGAATTGGAAGGAATCAGGTCACTGGAACAAACCACTGGTTAACAACAAGATGGTGGTCCTTTGGGACCACAGGTGTGTTGCTAACCTCCACTTTTCTTCCTGATTTGCTTTGCTTTCCGGGGCTTGAGAATGGTGTAGTTTGCATACACGGTGTACTGATCTGACAGGAAGGGGATATAGAATGCCCGCAGCAGCTTGGAAGATCTGAAAAACATGGAGAAAAAAAAGCAAAGAAAGAATATTATCATTTGGGAGAATTTACTAATGGTACTGAAAGTGATTAAAGGAAATTAAGTGTTGTGATGAGGATTACATTTATATAAGTAGTATATCTAGATATATGAACAGTATATCTAGTATCTAAGTAGCTGAAAAGTCTAAGTAACAGGAAAGCCAGTTAGGTACTAGATCGTGATAAAAATTTCACCACGATCAAGTACCTTGTTACCCATGCCAAAATGTATTACTGTTCCTAATAAGCTATACAGCATATGCTTCCAGATAGCTCTAGGTCTTCACTTTGTATTAGAATGTGCCAGAGAAAAGTTTCGGGTCACTCAAAGGACTGCTATTACTGAAATGAATTCTTAACACACAAATGGTTTCTGCATCTAAGAAACTGTAGAGGTGCCAAATACTTAAATGACCTGGACTCTATCTCCAAATTTTCCTAGAGAGAAGAAAACTACATCCTAGATGCCTGTGCACAGAGTGTTCCAGTATGTCTAAGTTAAGGAAAGAGTTCAAACACAAGTTCATGTTATGGCAACATGTCTCTGGCAAATTATATCTACTTATTACTGAAATATGAGAACTGAGAACCTGAATTTCTCATAAGTTTCTGAAGGGTGTGAAAAATGCTTACACTTTAAAATATATTATTTAATCCATCTGATAATCCTATGAGGAAAGTGACGTTATTACCCCTAGTGGATAGATGGGAAACTGAGGCTTACACTTGCTCAGAGTAAGTAATGGAGCCCTCTTCAAATCCAGGTTTGGTTGCAGAGTCTGCACCCTTAACCATCATGGTTTATCCCGCATCCCAGGAACAGGCTAACAGGATTTATAATTTTCTAGAAAAAGCTATAGTGATGGTTTTAAAATTCTATATTAAGTATTACTTCCTAACTGTGATTTCTGTGTCTAAAAAATCAAAAGTTGGCCCAGTTACTGCCACCCTAAATGAGGTAGCTGAAGGGTGTTCCACTGCCTGTCCTTTTCCAAATTCTAAACTTGTAAATGTCATGTCAACGTGGCATTTGTACTGGCAGCCTACCCCTGGGTTTGGCAGACTCCTACAATGCCTGCACACAATGATACCGTGCTTGGCGCACACACCTCTTAGGCATCCTTCCCAACTGAGACACTGGCAGTGCCCTGTGCTCAACTGAGATGCACTTCACTTCAACAGCCAACAGCTCAAGGACTTCAATAGAAAAAAGAGGCTTAGAGGAGAAACATAAGATAAAGCAGGACTCCTGCAAACCAATTGAATAGAAGGAAGAAGCACCTATCCCAGTAAAAAATAAGTTAATTTACTCTTCTTTCATGCTACACAGCTAAAGTGAAGGTTGGAACAGAAAGACGCAAGCTGGAACAAACTCCTACAAGCTTAAGTACAGTAAAGAAAGGCTAAAACTAATTAAGTTTTATTTCCATTACAGTTGACTCCACAATAAAAGCTTCATTAATAGAGTCATAATATATTTCTGGTCAACTTAACCTTTAATGTAAATCTGGGCCCACTGGACCCAAATTTAGTTTTGTACTTTCTTTTTGAAGCAATTTCTTACTATTTGGGAGGATTGTTAGGTCATGCTTTTATTCTTTTTAGAGTCTTCCAGAGAACAAAGAGAAATTATACTTGTTTTTTAAAAAATATTTTATCATTCTATCTTGTAATTACCATGAGAGTTCACTGCATCATTCTAAGGTACATTATAGGATCTTGGTGGTTTTCTTTTATTTAAAAAAAACTTAAATAATAAGAAAAAGAAAAAACAATGAAATCACTGAAAAGGATAATGCAATAGTGAAGTAAATCATCATTATTGCATTATCCTTCAAATTTTTTTATTGCATTGCCCATAATATTTCATCATCTTTTAATAAGATATAAATAAATACAGACTATATTTGTCTGTATTTATTTATTTATGTGTTGGTATATCACTCTGTTGTCCAAGCTGGAGTACAGTGGCATGATCAGGGCTCACTATAGCCTCAAATTCATGGACTCAAGGGATCTTCCTGCGTCAGCCTCCTGAGTAGGTGGGATACAGGTATGTGCTTATAAACCTAAAATTGGAAATGTCTGAATTATGGAGAAGAATGCTTACTTCTCTTCCACAAAATTATGCACCATCAAAGGTTTCAAAAAATTATGCAAGTACTACATTTTGTTGATGCAAGTGCAAGTACCAGAAGTTGTGATAGGCTAGAGTCTATTAGAAATACATCTAAAATCTGGAATCAGTATTTTTGGGAATGGATATATTCCAGATTCATGCATGACAGTTAATGAGTAGTTAGTGGCATTCAGAGACACTGTCCATTTCATACACACACACATCTCCAGGAGAATGTGGAATAAAAATTTGGGGTTGCTACATTTAAATAGTTATCACATTTTTAAATAAAATTATTTTTCACTATCCTTTTTATTCTTATTTTTATAAGTTATTTGTAAAGTAACTTAAAAATATAAAAAACAAAAAGGGTCTAAGACAATAAACAGTGTTGACTATATTCCTGGTGTGCTAACAGATCATGTTTAAAGATCATTTCAGAAAACTATCTTAGTAAGGTTCCACTTAAGGGGTTGGAAAAAAGAGAAGGAAAACTACATTGGGCTGCAGCATCAAAAATAAAAACTAGCCAGGTAAGGTGGTACATGCCTACAACCCCAACTACATGGGAGGACCAGGAGTTCAAGGCCAGCGAGGGCAACATAATGAGACTCCCATCTCTTCAAAAACAAAAACAAAAACAAAAAAAAACTGGCTGGACTGAAACAGAAGGACTACTATGCATTACTGTTAGTGTAAAAGTCAAGCTAAACAAAGGTAAAAGATAAACGAAACTGGGTCAAAATATTTACAATATACATAACAGAGGATTATTACCTAGACTACATAAGCTGCTCTTGTAGTCAATAAGAAGACAAATAGGCTGGGTGTGATGGCTCATGCCTGTAATTCCAGCACTTTGGGAGGCCAAGGCAAGTGGATTCCCTGAGCCCAGGGGTTCCAGATCAGTCTGGGCAACCTGGCGAGACCTCATCTCTACAATAAATTTTAAAAATTAGCCAGGTATGGTAGCACGCACCTGTAGTTCTGGCTACTTGGAAGGCTTGCTGGGGCCCAGCCAGCAGGTCAATGCTGGGGTGGCCGTGAGTGTGCCACTACAGTCCAGCCTGGGCGATGAAGTGAGACTAACTCAAAAAAAAAAAAAAAAAAAGACAAACAACTCAACAGGAAAAATGACAAAAAGTATGAACAGAGAAGAGAAATGCAAAATGCAAAACTGGATGTAATTTGCAATCAGGTTTGCAAAAGTTAAAAATCTGACAATGTTGGCCGATTGTGGTGGCTCAGTCTGTAATCCCAGCACTTTGGAAGGCCAAGGCGAGAGGACTGCCTGAGCCTGGGGGCTCAAGACCAGCCTGGACAACTTGGTGAGACCTCGTCTCTACAGTAAATCACAAAAACTAGCCAGGTGTGGTGGTGTGCATCTGTAGTTCTAGCTACTTGTAAGGCTGAGGCGGAAGGATTGCCTAAGCCCAGTAGGTCAAGACTACGGTGGCTGTGATCGTGCCACTGCACTCCAGCTGGGGTGACAAGAGTGAGACTCCAACTCAAAAAAAAAAAGTCCGACAACGTCAAACACTAATGCCAAGTCAAACAATGATGAACAAGAAAGGGGTCCTCCTAGCCTCCATAAGGACTTCAAAGCGCAACTGAATTGGCAATTTGGAATAATCATCCCAGGGCAAACATGGGTCTGACTCAGCTACCTCAAGAGATCCAAGAAACAGCCTGATTTGCCATGCTCCCTCAGTGTATAATCACAAGGAATTCAGCATCAAATTCTGAATAATGTGTCCTGGAAACAAGAAGGCATTTCTAGTTAAGCCTGAACACAAAACTACATAAAAGTGGGAATTAAGTATAAGGCAAAGCTAAGACTCTATCTCTCATCAGAGCATCACACTGGAAGAATCCTTATTAGAAAATGAATTTCCTTTTTTCCTGCAGATTCTGATTGTGATATTTTTTATTTTTTCAATTTTATTTTATTTTAAATTCAGGGGATACATGTACAGGCTTATTTCATAGGTATGTTGCATGATGGTGAGGTCTGAGCCTCTATTTAGTCCATCACCCAGATAGTGAGCATGGTATTCAATAGGTGGTTTTTAAATTCTTTTTTTTGAGTGTGTACCCAGGCTGGAGTGCAGTAGCATGCTCATGGCCACTGCAGCCTCGACCTGCTGGGCTCAGAGGATCCTTCCACCTCAGACTCCCAAGTAGCTGGAACTACAGGCGCGCGTTATCACGCCCGGTTAATTTTTGATTGATTGTAGAGATGAGGTCTCGCCAAGTTGCCCAGGCGGGTCTCGAACCCGCGGGCTCAGGCAATCCACTCACCTCGGCCTCCCAAAGCGCTGGGATTACAGGCTGAGCCACCGAGCCCAGCCCTGTACCACATTTTCTTTATCAAATCCACTGTAGTTGTGATAGTGTTATCTATCTATAAGTAAAACCTCTGTGGAAAACAGTTTGGCAATTCCTAAAAGATCTAAAAGTTGACCTTCCATACGACCCTGCAATCCCTCTTCTGGGAATATACCCGGAGGAACTCAAATCACTCTATAAACAAGATACCTGCACACGCATGTTTATTGCAGCATTGTTCACAATAGCAAAAACAGGGAACCAACTGTGCTGCCCATTGAAAGGGGACTGAATAAAAAAAAATGTGGTACATATACACGACGGAATATTACACAGCCATAAAGAAGGGCAAAATTATGAAATTTGCAGCAACGTGGGTGGACTTAGAGTCTATGATACTGAGTGATCTAACACAAAAATAAAGTGAGTACCGCACATTCTCACTCATAAGAGGACTCTGAACAATTATCATAATACTGGAAGAAAGGGAATGGCAGTAGTGGGAAACTGCCAGAGGAGGGAGGG